GGCAAACTCAAACCGAAGATGGCGTTCCACGCGCGATCCATCTCTTTTGTGGCTCAACTGTAAGTTATACGGCGAGGAAAGTTTCTGGTACCGCTGCACCCATCCCTCAAAGAACTCTCCGTCATCTGCAGTGGTTTTGCCAGGGGCGAGCACCACAGGAATCGTACGCATCGCGAGTACAGGAGCGTTTCCTCTTTGAGCATGAAGTCAAGTGCGGTATACATTCACCAGGATTTCTTGAGGAACCAAGAAGCAAGCTCGGAGAGCTTTTCGTTTGTCAAGCTCATCCTTTGTCGTGGCCGGGGGCCTGATCACATAAACGCCCAATGATCGAGTGATCGCATTCTCTTCTGTAGCAGGATCCGCCGAGCGGAAGCCGTAATTCACACGAGTTTAGGGATCGACCGTGGATGCGCGCGCACGAGAGCCGCCCTGCGGACAGAATCCAGCTGCTTCTTCTGTGCCTCGTCAAGGTCATTGGTGATAACACCACTTCTTCTGGAAGTCGAGAGTTCGGGAATAGGACACGGTGTCCGCAAGGTTCGAGCAGGACTTATGTCGCGCCGCTGGGTCACCTCGCTCTCTTCTTTCTTATCCTGGGAAAGGAGAATCCGACTCTTAGCCGATTTTTTCCAAATCCTCGACGAGGGAATCCATCGCCCGTGGCGGGCGCGGTGCGCGGACGGGAATAGACATTGTGCATGTGCTGTTGGTCGTGCGACCCTGTCGCTGACATTGCACTGCATGGTACTCGATTACTGAGAGCTTGGGCTGCGCTTCCGCGGACGTACTGTCCGAAGTTGCACCGCGTGCAGGGGACGAAAAAGGGCTCTACCCGCGGGCCTTCTCGATACCAGCGAGGCTAGGTGTACTCCGTATCCTCGACACAAGGCTCATTGAGTAGAGAATTCGTGAAGATGATCCTGATGATGATGTGGTGACTTAGACATGCGAGCCTCGCTCAAGGCGACAGTAGAATGTGAATTGTATGTGTCCCAATCTTGATGGGGGGGGTGAAACGCTTTCACGTGCCCTGGTATGGAGGGTGTGGTTTACACAATATGCTGTGGCTACACAATTACACTTAAACAAGTCAGTACGTGGCTTGAACTACCAGTAATCATAATTCATTAGGTTTTTGTATATAGATAGGAAAACTTTTAGTTTTAGATATAGGCGGCTTTGTCGCAAATAAAACCGAGAAATACAATTTACGTTTTAAACGGAGGAGTTGAGTAGCCTTGGCTTGAGGTTGTAGTTACTCTTGGAGTAAGTGGATTGTGATCCACTACACTCGTACTGGTTCTAAGTATAGAACGAAGGGCACCAACCTTAACCACGCTTCCTCTAAGCGAAAGAGCTACGGCAGCCCCACTGCAACAAGTGCTACCAAGTCAAGGGGGTCGCCGTGCACCTACATAGAGGAAGCTTTGACTCCCAGGGGCTGCATTAATAGATGCACAGTGGTTCGGTTCGCGCACTATAATCAGGAGCAAGATCGAAAGACTCTGATAACTAACGCTGTGAGTGTGATATGCTAGTACAAAATGCATAGATTCAACAGTAGTATTATGTAGCATAATAAATATACGTTTATATTTTTATACTGAAATACCGAATTTCTCTTACGTGCAGAAAGCAAGGTACCTCAGCTCATCTTTTTCTGAACTCTGTAATCTTCTAATATCGATATTCTGGGTTTATAAATGTTCTCAATTACCATTTCGTACAATTGTACCGTATTATAATGAATACAGTTGTACCAGTGTTAAGTAGAGAAAATTATAGCTCTAGTCCCGGTACAATCATCTTCCTTCTCATCGGTGTGCATTTTCCGTGCTTGGTTCTTTAAGTAAAAATTTAAAACGGAGGTGGCTGTATGACCACGCCAGATTTTTTTTGTTCATATCAAAACTATTATTTTTCTACTGGCAAATTATGATTCTGCCATCATCAATCCATTCCTGACAACATCTCAATCTCGTAGCGTATATGGTGAGCAGCATAAATTGTGACATCTCGTTAAAAATCTAGAAAACAATTTCTACAAACTCCCCAATTTTAGTTCCTTCAGACTTAAGCTGGTTAGACGATATCAAAGAAGAGAAAGAGTTGGGAACCTGCCGAACAAGAAGTTCCGCCCCTACAATTTCGATGGATGAGAGCTTAAAAAGATTTCACCTCTGTCGACTTTTTATCCACATGCTAACACTAAGTATTTATTTTTCGGCAATTATTGGCCGAAAAATAAATACTGAGTGTACGAGCCACAAGACTTTATAAACGAACTCTTTAAAAGTAATGAAAGTTACGACCCATAGTTACGAGTAAAGAGTAGTAGCAAAATTCTGAGCTTGCTTTCAATTACTATTGAGACACAATATAGAGTCTGAATCGACATCCACCTTCAGGTCTGTGACAGTCCTGAATGACGATGTCGCTATGGGTCCCCGCGATTCTTGTCGAATGACAAAAACAGAACTCTCACGATCGGAGACAACACTCAAACTTTTATGCTGAGCTTTCAATTAGAAGACCCGATTTCTCATATATTCGATTTCGCACGGCGATTGTAAAGCCAAATGAGTACGAGTGAGAAATACACTCTTCATCTCTGTGCGACTGTTCTCGCGAAGTTCATTTGCTTGTCACGGAAAGAATCAGCGCCGGCATTTACTCAAGACATCTATTTAAACTGTTCAACTTCGTGATAATAGCAAAAAGACCTCATCTCAGTATATCCGTGAGTCATCTTTAGGCGACTTTGTGCACGAAGCTGTACAGGATACTTGGAGAGTTAATGTTCGTAAATTGCTTACATGATATATTTAGATCGCGACGTATGGCATACAAAGCGCGAAAGTGAGCTGTAGTTCGTCGACGAGATAGTTAAGGCTTGAATATGCAAATTGGTGGGTACTGAAACCAAAATTAAAATAGGTCGTGTATAGTGAAGTCATATATGAACAACAAGATTTAGCGTCGAATCGGGCGGCAACAATCTCGCTGAAATGTTGAATCGATAACTGTCAAATCTTGATAGAGTCATACGACTGGACTGCTGCTCCTTTATCTGCATCATTCACCTAACTTGTCAAAGTCGGCGTGATCCACTGGGTGTGTTTGTAAAATCCATACTTTCAGATTTGCTTGTGGATAAACAAAAGGTAAGGGAACTCATCCAATGAAGTTGAGAAGAACTTCAAGTTCCCCTTTGTAACGCTTTCATATGCTATTTTGCTAATGACATATTTTAATTTACTTTAAGGAATATCGGAAAGTTGAAGTTGCTGGTAACAGACCCCAAAGACCCTCAATGCACCACCAGTTGAGCTACATCAGCACCTTTTATTGTAGTAATTAAGAAATTAGTTGATTCAGTTCATTAGCATTTGAGTTCGACATTAATCTTAAAATCTGGACCTCGTGACGGCCTCAGCAGTCAAGCTAGAGAGTAGTGGCAAAATGAGGGAGGCTCAAGAATTATAATTCATTACCCATTCAATTTTTAACATATTGCACGAATATGTACGAAACTACTGTATGCAACATGCTCTTGAAGAGCACATGAATTGTAGTCCAAGACGACGAACGCTTTTACGCAATTTAGCTACTCTTTCGCTAAAAGGTTGCAGCTGCAAGTTCAAGTCCATACAAGTTAAAAATTAAACCTAAGCCATGCTGTGTGTCAACGCGAGTTTAGGTAGACTTTATTTTAAGCTTGTTGTCTTAGCGTCAATTCCCGTCAATTTCCGTCTATTTTACGTACCTGTCAAAGATCCCCCCAAAAGAATTACTTGTTGGTCGCAAGTATTTTATAACTTAGAAGGGTAAATCGACGTGTCTTTGAAAGTCTGGCTTTTTGCAGATCCTGTTACAGACGGTCACTAAGCCTGATACATGTGGACCTCTCATCTTTGCTGAATATTAAATGCTTTTTTGTTGTGGATTGTGACATCATAAGCTGAGCGAAATGCGGTGAAAGATGCTACAACTGCACGACTGTCATGTGTTTGTTTTTTTGTCCAGTTTACCATTCACAGAGACAAATTTTGCCTACCTTGTGTACCTGCAGGAAGTGTTTTGGGCATATTCAGCAATGCATTCTATTGAAAATATCGAGGAAAGAATTCTTATCTACTGGTGGCATATCAGGCAGAGGACGTCCCTTTGACTTCATAAATGAAGTTTATGCTATAATTCACTAAAGCATATTAGACAAGTTAGAGAAATGTCTTTTTTTAGTGATTATCAATATCTAAACAGTTAAAAGGTGTAAATTTCGAGACCTTGAGTTGCTGTGAGCTATAAACTGTCTGACATTAATTTCTCGACTCTCGGACCATTCGCGATGTTTCGGTAAATTCTTTCCATCCCTTTCGAAGTGTAATTATGATTCAATAACTGAGTTATGAGGTTTGCTATTTATGTATCCGGTATCTACACCTGGTAAAAAGCATTATCACAACAAGACAATATGCCAATAGAGCGTCAAAAGCACTAATATACTTTTACAACATGCGATCACGTAAAAAAAGGCTTACGGATTGTAATGCAAAGAGCCAGCCAGTGGGAATGCTTCTGTTTGGGATAGGCATCCACACCGTAGGCCCAATCGCCTTATCATTCCATCTTTTACCGAAGCCTGACGTTCGCTTATACTCGACGTTGATCTTATATTTCATCAAACCCGAAAAGTGGAGCTCATACCAACATGGTAACGAAAAGAGTCCAGATTATTGGTGTTGTGGTGACCATCGCAGTAATTGGAGTGATTGCTGCAATCATCTTGACTCGCCAATCCGATAGTAGCAGCGTGAACAACGAGTCGTCTGGTCCAAACGTCTCGGACTCCGCTTCAGGTACATCGGGAGATACGGATGATCAGTCGACTGGAACTTCATCCGAGAATTCTACCAATGAAAAAACCGGTACAAAGTCAAAGACGAGCTCAATTACTTCCGATCCGACGTCTGGTGCGTATGCCTGTAGTATGATACACTTGAAATTCGACACTGACTCGATTTATTTGCCTTACTTATGAATTAGCCAAGTTCTCGCTGGCTGCTTTTGCCGTAGGTGACTGGGGCACCACTATTTACCAGGATTCATGCTGCACACGTTCGGACACGTTTAACAACTACGATATCTTAGCTGAGGATGTCGTGGCAAGTATCATGAACACCCAAGCAGGCAACGCTGATATCAAACCAAAAGCTATTCTAGGACATGGCGACAACTTTTACTGGACTGGTATCAACAGCGAGGAAGGACGAGATTCCCGTTTCGCGACGACTTTCGAAAAAAAATTCAGCGGCGAAAACATTGCATCAATTCCATTTATAAATGTCTTGGGCAACCATGATTACGGTGGTGGTAGTTATATTTGCCACAAAGGAGACGAGAATGCCAAGTGCAATAGTCCTGAAGAAATTGTTGAGGGTCTAGAGAACAAATTTAAATGGCAACAAGAGTACACGAGCCCAAACGACAATCGCTGGATTCTTAAGGATCACTTTTACAGCTACACTATTGCCGACGAAGACTCGGGTGTGAGTATTGAAATTTTCAATATTGACACTGGTGATGCCGACGTACATGCTGCAATACAAGTATGCTGCCAATGTTATGCCTATTCAGGAGGTAGTGATAATTCGTGCGATGGTGTTGCGCGCGGTCACAAATTCTGTGCTGGTGGTGACAATGATCTGTATGATGCATGCTTTGCTAAGTTTGAGGAATGGGGTAGTGAATCACGCAAGCTGTTGGTCGAGCATGCTGCTGCTTCCAATGCTACGTGGATGGTTGTCAACAGCCACTACAGTCCCCATGTACACTACGACCCAGAGGGTGTGAAAGAGTGGTTTAAAATTCTTAAGGATTCTGGCATCCATGCGTGGATTTATGGTCATACCCACGGAGAGAAGCACGACTACTCCGAGTCACATGGCATCCATTTTGTTGAAAATGGAGCTGGTGGCGGTATTCAGAAGGAAGCTGCCAGCGGTATTACGACATACGCTGCTGAGTATGCAAAGAATGTGTGGACGTATTCGGGGGACGAGTACGGTTTTTTCTCGCTTGAAGCTTCAGCGGAGTGGATGATGCTGCAGTATCACACAGCTGATAAAGCATGGTCTTTTGGATCAACCATGGGTGAAACAACTGTTGGTGGAGTCGAAACGAAGCATTGCTGGTATATTCCTGCTGACGGAGGTGAAGGTCAGGAGTGCACATCGTAAGGTGTGATTGTATGTGTAGACGAGAACACAATATGCAATTTACGTGATGTGTAAGTGTTTTCTTTTCTTCAGAGGTTGTTCATTTTAAGAAGTTGAATACATAACAGAATTTCAGCTTCTCTCCGTAACAGTTTCTAGTGCGTACCCACTTAAATGGTCGCATAGGCTTTGAAGATTCTTTGTAAGAAACATTTTCTCGGGCAAGAACCTTTTTTATACACAGCTAGACAACTGTAGGATCGTGTTGAATCTTTCCATCATCTTAAATATGTTGTGAGCTGATCCTTTCGCACCTTTCAGATTCTTAAAAAAATGCACATTACTATTTATCATCTTCAATTGTGACTCTGATACTATATTATTCAATCTGAGCGCATAAAGTTCCTTTCTTCGTAATTTCTGAATCTAAAATACAATATATTTGTCAACTTTGTGGTTACTGCCTTTAATTTGGCTATGAATTCGTGCTGTTAGAACGAAATGGGTCATATTTTCTACTTTTTCTTCATTCAAGTCTTGTAAATCTTTTGTGGATCCAATGTAACGCTCAAAGCACAAGCTTAGCCAGCATATAATCAAGTTGAGCGTACACCTCCTGTACATGAACTTTGCAAGAAGTCTGACCATTGGGAAATGCGCACAGTGTATTTGTCATACAGTAACATACTTGACTTTGAATTGTAAGCCCTTATATTAATTCGATGCCAGCAACCAGTGGATTTGTTTATGTGAAGGTGACAATCGTCGACACTTATCTGATAGTCACATTAAACAATTGGAATGGGATTGTCATCACGATCTTATCCAAGGGTTCGGCAAAATTTTGCTGTGCAGTAGCTCGACTTCAGATAAAAATTATATAGACAATTTTCATAATGATTAGCACGCTGAAGATGAAGGTATCGCTACTATTCACGTTGAATTTATATATATTCTGACAATGGATATTGATATTTCCAATAATGCATACCAAGAATGGGTTAGTATTACCCATAATTGTAACGGGATAGTTGTCCTGATACTGATATACCCACCTCTCTACACTGAACCAACTTTGGTGTTAAGAATTTGGCACCAGTTACAATACCTTCTGGCTCTTTAAAAAAAATTCTTAAAGATTCTGGCTCTTTCTAACGGATTTTTACGAATAGTGATCGGTCTTTTATTTATTAGTAGCCTCAAGAAAT